ACTGGCATTATAGGCATGTGCCGCCATACCCAGCAATTAATTACTTGTTTTTGGAGATTGAAGCTGAAAACCTAGGTTCCTGACCCCCAGCTGTAAATCTCAGTTGATTTTTTTTCTGAAATGACCAGTTGGCTCTGTTGTTAGTATAAAAAAAGGATATGGAAGGCCTTAGACCATCTAATCTACAGTCTTTTCCCCCCACCATGCTTTTTCTTTTATCCTCATTCATGTTATGAGAGAGCCATATTTAGTGAACTAGTCCTGCATTCCCTCCTATACTCTTTGAAATTATCTTGTTTGTGTCTTTGTTATGTTTCTTCTCTGTCTCACATGGATGCTAAAATTCTAGAAGAAAGAACTGAAGCCAGGTGGCGCAAATCCCAACAGCTCAGGAGGCTGAGACAGGAGGATCGCAAATTCAGAGTTAGCAACTGGCAAGGTGCTAAGCAACTTAGACCCTTTCTCTAAATAAAAAATACTGAATAGGGCTGTGGATGTGGCTTAGTGATTGAGTGCTCCTGAGTTCAATCCTRGTACCAAAAAAATAAAGAACTGTAAGCCAAAGATATTGAAAAGGGCTCTGCAGCTCCCCTTTAGTTCTCCAGTTTCATCAAAGGTACGAGGATTATCACTGCAGATGTTGAGTGGAGAGCAACAATTGAATTTGAGCAAAGCCAAACAAGTGGAACAGATATTTTACTAATAGAATATTATCAAGAAAGCTGAGATGAAAGGTGGAGAGGTAGTGGGGSATGTGTTGGGGAGTAATATCGGTCAAAAATGTGGAAGAAAAAAAACAAAAAGAAAGCTTTCCTAGAAAGCTATTTTTTTTGACCACGGTATACTGAGTTGATTGTAATAATATCTTGGGGATATATCACACTTTATACAACCCTTTCATATCCATTATCTTATTTAATTCTCACATTAGCACTTTGAAATAGATAATGGTCAGTCAGGAAAGCCAAAGTTTAGGGATTAAGTGATTTGCTGAAATTCACCAGCCAGTTTGTGGTAGGAGTAGAACCTAAACATAGCTCTTCTGACTGTTGCTTTCCCCACTACTACTTAGTGAACTGCAGTTATATCTTTGTTATCATTCTCAGTCTGGATCTCTGTTGGTTTTTCTAACACATTTGGTCCTCCTTCATCAATTCTTTTTACTGAATTCCTTGTCATTTTGCTTCTGTTCCAGAGAGAAGTGGAGATCCTGATGTTTCTCAGTGCTATTGTGATGATGAAGAACCGCAGATCTAGTAAGTTYAGCCTGCTTCTAAGTCTCAGGATCAGGCCTGATACCCCTGGAGTTGCTTTTTTCATGTTATGAAAGGGGCACTATTTAGGGCATTTGATCTTCTTCCCTCTTCCATTTCAAAAATACCCCAAGAAGATGKAAAAAGAATGGGATATAGGAGTATACAGCCCAGCCTGACTTGTGACATCTCTGTTTCAGTCACCGTGGAGCAACATGTAGGCAACATCTTCATGTTTAGTAAAGTGGCCAACACAATTCTTTTTTTTCGCCTGGATATTCGCATGGGCCTGCTTTATATCACACTCTGCATAGGTGAGGCAATTACCTTTTTAAAATTCTTCATAAGACTATGTTAATAAAGACTTGATTTAGGGGCTGGGGTTGTGGCTCAGTGGCAGAGCTCTTGCGTAGCATGTGTGAGGCACTGGGTTCAATCCTCAGCACCACATATAAGTAAATAAAAAATAAAGTTAAATCAACAACTAAAAAGTATTTAAAAACAACAACAACAAAAAAGACTTGATTTAGCTGGGTGTGGTGGTGCACACCTGTAATCCCAGTGGCTCAGTAGGCTGAGGCAGGAGGATCACAGGTTTGAAGCCAGTCTCAGCAATTTAACGAGACTGTTAGCAACCTAGTGAGACCCTGTCTCAAAATTTTTTTTAAAAAAGGGTTAGGGATGTGGCTCAGTGGTTAAGTGTCCCTGCCACTAAAAACATAAAGACTTGATTTGAGGAACCAAATTTCATTCCCAAATAGGTAGTTATGTGTGTAACTTAGATGGAAAGAAAATAATACTGGGCACAGTGGCACACACTGTAATCCCAGCAGCATGGGAATCTGAGGCAGGGGATTTGCTTGTTGAAAGCCAGCCTTAGCAACTTAACGAGGTGCTAAGCAACCTCGATATTTAAGACCTTGTCTCTAAATAAAATACAAAAAAGGACTGGGGATGTGGCTTAGTAGTTAAGTGGCCCTGGGTTCAATCCCCAGTACCAAAAAAAGGAAAAAAAAAAAAACCCAAAAAACAAAAACTGCAGAGACTGTACTTTAGAGGAAGGAAATGTATTTTTGGTCTACATATATCTACAAGTATGTATTCTTTGGTGGCTGAAATCCTTGAGTTGGTTGGAGATAAGTCCTGTGTGCAAAGCCTTGTATGTTTTTTGCTTGATATCTTTTTTCCTGTGTTCAGTGTTCCTGATGACCTGCAAACCTCCTCTGTATATGGGCCCTGAGTATATCAAGTACTTCAGTGATAAAACTATTGATGTGAGTATTCTTCCTCCTCTGATTCTTGGATACTTGGTAGATGATTTTGTAATTATGTTCTCAGTTCACTAGGAGGAATAACAGTGCTTCAAAATGAAAGTCAGAAGCATTTGTGATTCATTATGAGAGCCAGGAAGAGGGAAGTCGGGATGAGGAATTAGGCACTAAGGTCTGACTCCTCCCAGATTCTTACATGATCCAGTTCACTATTTCTTCCCTTTGTGTGGCAGGAGGAACTGGAGCGGGACAAGAGGGTCACTTGGATTGTGGAGTTCTTTGCCAATTGGTCTAATGACTGCCAATCGTTTGCTCCTATCTATGCTGACCTCTCCCTCAAGTAAGTTAGTGCAAAGGGAGGGATAATGGAAACTGAGATGCAGTACCTTCCTTCTTATTTTTGGCCTTGACTTTTATGCTTTCCAGCCAAAGTCATTACCCCCTTCTCTCCTCAAATATCTTTATTTTCACTTTTTAAAATGTTTTCAATATATTAAATAATATGTTCTTCTCAGGTACAACTGTACAGGGCTAAATTTTGGGAAGGTGGATGTTGGACGCTACACTGATGTTAGTACCAGGTATGTAAAGATTAGAGCTAAGAATCTTAGCAAGGAATTACTTTGAGCAATATCTAGAGATACATTCACAGACTCCTTTCTGGGCCCTGTAGGTACAAAGTGAGTACATCACCCCTCACCAAGCAACTCCCCACCCTGATCCTGTTCCAAGGTGGCAAGGAGGTAATGCGGCGGCCACAAATTGACAAGAAAGGACGAGCTGTCTCTTGGACCTTCTCTGAGGTATTTGAAGGAATAGGCATTGCAAACGGGTACAGATCAGTGGATGAGTTCTGAAACCCAACCTGGATTTGATTTCCAGTGTCTACCACTTGTCCACTAGTTTTTGGGGATATAGACTAGATACTAGGCCTTATTTTAGTTCACTCACCAAATTTACATTGTATGCCAGACTGCTAGTACAGGGAACAATGATGAGTGAAGACTTAGTCTCTAAGGYGCCTATAGTATATAGGCATTTAGGCTTCTCATCTGCAAATTGGAGATCCACCTGGATCACAAGATTATTTTACAGACTACATGTAGATAGTATCATTTATTCTTGGCACAGTGATTGACACATAATGAATACTTAAGTATTAATTGACTTTTCTGGGTACTTAAAAAAAAAAGAGGAAAGTTAAATTAGGGTAGATTTGTATCCTTTCCTTTCTCCCTTCTTTCCTACTCTGTGTCTAAATACTTCTTACTTTTAGGTTCTGAACTTTACCTTCCAAACCAAATCCTGATGTGTGCATCTCTTTTGTGCAGGAGAATGTAATTCGTGAATTTAACTTGAATGAACTATATCAACGGGCTAAGAAGATATCAAAGACTGGAGACAGTATCCCGGAGGAGCAGAGTGTGGCCCCAGTCCCCACCACAGTGCCAGATGGGGAAAGCAAGAAGGATAAATAAGATTCCTGCCTCATTTTTGCTCCCTCTTCTGTCAATTCCAGGCACCTTTGAGGCCCTGCTCCAGTGTAACCATATGCTCTGCCTGAGGCTGCTGCCTCTTGTTTTCCCTGTTTGGCTGTTGCAGGGTAGGCAGGATGCTGCTTCTGATTTTAAAGAAGCAGGCATAGAATTGTCAGGTACCCTAGAGGAAGGCTTGCCTTGCTGTGGCCAACTGTTTCCTTAAGGGAGAGATCTCATATGATGGGGGAGGAAATGGTTTCCCTCCAAGGTTGGGTCAGTGTGTAAACTGCTGTTCTTCCTTAGACATCAGCAGTCTGTGGTTTCCTTATTCCTCTTAGTGGCTCTGCACAGCCTAGACTAGATCAAACCTGTTACTTGCCTGGGTATAGAACACTAAGAATTTTTCCTCAAGGACCCTTGCTTTCCTTAGGCCCTTCTGGCTTGGTCTATGGCATTCATTAAAAAATACAAGCCTAAATTTGTTACTGGTCCCAAGGAGAAACCTTTTACCACAGAGTTTTCATCATTGAAAACAGTATTGAATGATCCTATTTTGTAGGGATCCAGAGGAAAAGGAATAAAAGCTTGAGACTTTCCTTTGTGTGTTGGGACCTGGAAGAGAAAGCCTGGACTGTCCTTTTCTCTACCTAGTCCCCACACCTAACCAACAGTTTCCATAATAAAAGAGACTGGGATTTCTTTTGATTAATCTTTTGTGTGTTTCTCTTGTGTTGGAAAAAAAGCTAGGCAGGGCTAGGAAAGTGGATCAGTGGGAGTTTACCTAGCATGCTTGAAGCCCTGAGTGGGATCCCCAGCACCACCAAAAACCAGACAGTCTTCAAAGAAAAGCTAAGTAACTGCAAAGGAATAGCCCATCTTTTTTTTTTTTTTTTTTATCAGTACTGGGGATTGAACCCCTGGGTCCATTACCATTCAGCTACATCCCCAGTCCTCCAGTCCTATAGTTTTATTTTGAGACAGGGTCTGAGTTGCCCAGATTGGCCTTGAATTTTCAATCCTGATCCTCCTCCTTCCACCTCCCAAGTAATGGATTACAGGTGAATGCCACCATGCTGGACAAGATCACTGTAATATGAAAGGGCATATTGTGTTTCACCAAATGCTGGGCATCAATTCCCAGGATTGATGATGGTTGGGGAAGACCGATTTCTGTAATCTAAAGTGCTAACCAGAGGGGGATGCTTTGTGAACTTAATTTTGGATTGGTCTGTGCTTCCCAGGGAGGAATTTGGGGAGCATCATAAAGCATAGAATTTAGTGCAACGCATAGGCACCTAAACCTCTGTGTGGGATATGAAGCTTGCTTCCAGACTTGAGTCCCCGCCTCCCGGCATGCCGGCCTCACCTGGTCCCCTCCACCCACAGCGCTTAATGGTAGGGCCTGGTTCTCGCACTACCTCCCCCTTCTGGTAGGCGGAGTGGCTGGGCTCGAAGGTCCCGCCTCCCGGCCACGTGCGCGCTGCGGGGCTCGTTTTCCACTCTCGCGGGGAGTTTTTGTTTCGTGAGTAGAAGTTCTGGTTTAAACCTGGTGATTMGGGGTCTGATTGCCCTCCTGCCTGGTGCTATCTTAGTCGTGGCATCTTCACTGTATTCTCCCTTCCGCCCCAGCATCTCCAATCGGCTCGGCGCGCGGCTGGATTCCAGGCGCCATGGCTCCTCGCGGGAGGAAGCGGAAGGCCGAGGCCGCTGCCGTCTCCACGTCGGAGAAGCGGGAGAAACTGGAGAACGGCAAGGAACAAGTGGAGGAGGCGGTCGTCATTGAGCATTGGTGAGCGCCCTGGGAGGCGCGGGCGGCGGCGGGAAGAATRGCTGGCGTTGCAGCGGGGCCGCAGTCTGATCTCCCCGTCTCTCCCTAGCACTAGCTGACGCGTCTACGGGCGCAACGCCGCGGCCCTGAGCCAGGCGCTGCGCCTGGAGGCTCCGGAGCTTCCCGTGAAAGTAAATCCTTCCAAGCCCCGGAGGGGCAGCTTCGAGGTGACCCTGCTGCGCCGAGACGGCAGCAGTGAGTGCGGGCCGGGGCCTGGGGGGAGAGGGGCCTGGGTCTAAAGCTAAGAAGCACTAGTTTTGGAAACCGCGGCCAGCTGTTGACTTTAGAGATGTTCGTGGATTCCAAAGTAATTTCGATTTATTCCCAGGTGCCGAGCTCTGGACCGGGATTAAGAAGGGACCCCCACGCAAACTCAAATTCCCCGAACCTCAAGAAGTGGTGGAAGAGTTGAAGAAGTACCTTTCTTAGGGCCATTTGGGCAGAAGTCCTCATGCTGAGGTTTGAAATGGAAAGGGAATTAATCTTGGGTAGCTTCTTGCAAAGGAGCCCATACTGTTATAATTTATTCCACACAGGATCTAAAAGTGGTTTCCTACAGGGTGTGCCTTTTGCTAACCGTTTTCATTTGAGTCCCTTTACGCCAAATTTAGAACACTAATGGTAATATTAATGATTCTTTATAGAAGMGTAATTTGTATACTTCCGGTTGATTGTGGCCCTGGGGGTATGATCCAGTGTTGCTTTTGTTTGAAATTTTATTTCCTCATTCCTGGTGGCTATTTTAATTCTTTGAACCAGTTGTAAATCTTAACTGCTTCCCAGAGTTAAAATTTTTAACATGGGTTTTTGTGTGGGTTAATGATTTTCCTTCTTTACTGGCACACTGCTGTACCTGCCCCTACACTTTTCTAGGGTTATTTTGCCCCCCCCTCCCCCCTCGTCTTATGTACTAAACACTGTATTACAACACTGCGTCCTGGTTAGGTGGATTTTTGTTTCTCCATAGTGTTTCATTCAATACTTTGGCATCTTGTCAGGCACTTGTATGTTGAGTGAGCTTTGGGGGAAGGATACAATCCTTGAGCTCCTGGGTGGTGGTGGTGGGGGCAGGGATGGCATGCCTGTAATTCCAGGGACTTTAGGAGGCCAAAGCAGGAGGATTACAAGTTTAAGACCAGTCTCAGGGAGTCCTTATCTCAAAAAATAAAGGGTTGGGGATGTTGTCAGTGGTAAAGCCTCCCAGGGTTTAATCCCCAATACCAAAATTTAATAAAGTGATGGAGGGAGATGTCTTCCTTAGTCTTTGGTGCTGGATCCCTTCTCTAACATTTCCCTTCTCATTATTGCAGCTGTCTCTGGTGGTGTTGGAGCATTTATGATGGGACATGGCTAAACTTCAGTCATGTACCTGAAGCCATTTCTTCCACTCCAGAAATGATGATACAGATGAGGCAACCCTCTAGTAAGGCATTGTAAAAATATTTGGTTTGTTTAATAAAAGGTTAAATAAAGTATCTAAGAGTAAAATTTAATGTTGATGGACAAAGCCAGCTGTGGGATTGGTGGTCCTTATTTTTCATTGCCCAAGGTCACCAATTGGCCTGGAACTTGTAAGAGTCTCTGGTATAACATGTGAAACACTTATAAAAACTATGGGAGCAAAGTAAATAATTTATTTTTTWAAAAAAGCAACTATCTTTTTCAATTCACTTCTTAGAAGTGATGGAAGTACATCTTTCTGGCCCTGTGGAGGTTTTACCTAGACTTCACATACTGGCAATGAACAAGCCCCACAAATATAAGATGCTGGAAGTGTCCTATCAATCTCACCCACTAAATGTTTTGCCTAACGTAGTTTCACATCTTTTGGGATATTTTTCTCTTTTTACTCTATGGTATTGGGGATCAAACCCAGGGCCTCTTACATGCTGGGCACGTTGTGCTCTGCTACTGAGTAATAACTCCAACCCTTTTTAAATTTTGAGAGGCTCAAAGTAAAACAAAACCCCACCTCAGAGCTTTCCCTGAATTTGCAGACTCAGTGCCTTGTGAACTGAGACACCTGGTTCTTGGCTGTTACCTATGACCCACTAGAGTTGGGGACCACACAGTTTATTGTTTCACTTGTCACTAACTGGAAAGTAGATTACAAAGAAATAAGATAGTTCAAGTTCATAATTTTCTACCTATGATACTACTAAACTTCTGCCTGGTCCCCAAGGCCTAGGGAGGGGAGGGGAGGAGGGAACCTACAAAGAGTCAGGGTAGACCTACCTCTTACACTAAGAGGAGAAGGCATGTGCTAGTTTCTGCCAATAAATAAGCCTTTTACTAGCCAACACTTTCCACCCTCCCAGGGCCCCTAACCTCACCTCCCCTCTCTACTACGTTAGTATGTCTACCTCTGTTTCTGACTCTGAGGAAGGATCAGGCCACACAGAGGGAACACTAGCAGGCCCCAGCCTCCCTTCTGTCCAGTCCACCACATCAATTTCCTCATCTTCAGAGCTGTCAGGAAGTGGGCCCAGCAACTCAGAGTTATCAAATGCCTCCTTGCTGGCCTCTGGAGCAGGGTATAATTCCTCATCCATGGTTAGGGACACGTCTAGCTCAGTCTCTGCCCAGTTTGAGCATGGAGGAGAGAGGTCCCTGTAAGATCTTTGGGGAGGGTCAGGGGAGTCAATATGGAGAAGTTTGTCTCCCTGACCATCCAGTGGCTGGGAGTTGGTAATTTCAAGATGTGGAGTCCAAGAGTCTCCGACTGAAAGCACTCCTCCTTCATTCACCTCAGAGGGCATAACAAGGGGACTAAAGGGCTCAATTGGCTCTTTGTTCTCAGAAGGCATGACAAGGGGACTAAAGGGCTCAATTGGCTCTTTGTTCTCACTAACAGGTTCCTTTTCCAATCCTGTGAGCTCTCTGGGCCAGAGTTCCATGTCTGGTAAACACCATTCTTCCCCTTCAATCCAGTTCTTTCCTGTTTCTGTCAGGTGATAACTAGGGGTTCTGCAGCCCTCAACCTCAGGACTCTCCAAAGACCCAACAGGTGGCTCAATGTCTGAGCCACAGAGCATAAAGTCAAGGATCTCTTCCAGCTCACTGGTGGCTGCAGCACTTGTGATTCGGTATTCCTCAGCTTCACAGGGCTGCCTGAGCAGAGCTGTATCAAATGCATATGGCTCTCTGCAGTCAATATTCATCATGGGTTCCTTCCCTACCAGCTCTGGACTAGACCCAAACTCTGACTTCACCACAGAGTGGCCTGGGGAGTGGCTAGCAGAGAGCAGAAAGTCTTGTAGCCTAGAGACTGGAGAGTCCTGACAGAGTTCCATTCTAGTAGATGGCATTTCCTGCTCATTAATTGAGGGTAGCTGAGCCCCTGGAGGTTCTAAGACTCTCCCAGGATCTGGGATCTGGGGGCTATCTTGAGAATTTTTGAGGGGAGGCTCCTGTACCACCTCCCAGCAGGTCCCGTTTACAATCTTCCGAAGTTTTACTCTCCCAATCTGCCCTTCCTCTGCAGAGTCTGAGTTGGGTGCTCTGACTTCAGGGCTCTGCTTCTTACTCCCACCTGCCTTCCCAAGACCAGATGGGCTTGGGGTGTTCTGTAGAGGACTAGCTCTTCCTGGCTTCTGTTTGTCCTCTGGTGCTTCTTTATTTATACTTCTCTGCCGCCAAAGACGCCGGCCAGGGGCTGTGGGCACTGTGCTGGACCCACTTAAAATGCTAGGCTTTGATGTACAGACATCAGGAGATGGCTTTGAGCGACTTAGCCTGATCTTTCTGGGCAACAATCGCTCATCCACAGCGGGGTACAAGCTGGGTGGGGAAACTGCTGTAGGACCAAGGACAGAGTCATCCTTGTTTTCCTTAAGTCCCTGACTGTGGCTTGAAGGAGAAGAGCTTTTCTCTTGGGGAGCCAGGCAGGCTCTAGCCTTCCTCTTGAGCAGAAGAGTGCCTGACAAGTTCTCAGCATTTGGTCGGTTGCCCTTTTCCTGGGGACCTTCCTCTTTACCCAAAGACTTCAACCTAACTGCCCCAAGGGGACAAGGAGTCTGAGTAACAGGCAGTGGAGTTCGTGGGCGGCGTGTGGGTGCCACCACTCTGGCAGAGATTGGTGCAGCACTTGGTGGTTGTAAACACTCTCGGTTCAGTCTTCGGCCCTGAGGTGCTTTGACTAACTTTCCACCCTCTAACTGAAGAGATTCTAGCTCAGACACACGGAGCTGCCGCGCAGCAGAAAGCACGTCCTGGGCTTCTTCTCGGGATACTTCCATCTCTGAGGTATACAGGAAGTCCACCAACTTTCTAAGTGTCCTGATTTTCAGGCCCCCCAGTTCCAGCACCACCTTCCGACCCTGAGCTGGCCTTTCCCGTTCCAGGCGTTCTGTGAAGAAGGGGCTGCAGGCTGACAGAATGCAGCAGTGGGCTGGAACTGCCTCACCTGGAGAAAAACACACAGACTGTCATGTAGACTTGCATGTTCATGGACTAAGCATAGACTAACGACCCAAATGTATTGCCCCTTCTCATAGTTTTTTCCCCACGGAAATTCAAATAAAAGGAGAAATTTGTTCCTTCTGCTTGCCTGGAATCTTCTGCCATACCTCTCTATCAGCTAGCTTATTTTTTAATAATCCAAAATCTAGCCTACAAAAATTCATTCAAAAAGTCTTCCTCTAAGGGCTGGGGTTGTGGCTCAGTGGTAGAGCGCTTGCATCACATGTGTGAGGCACTGGGTTCAATTCTCAGCATCGCATATAAATAAATGAATAAAATAAAGGCCTATCAACACAAAAAAATATTAAAGAAACAAAAAAAGTCTTTCTCCAGCTGGGTGTAGTAGTGCATACCTGTAATCCCAGCAATTTGGGAGTTTGAGGCAGGAGGATTGTTAAATTTAAGGCCTGCCTAGACAACTTGATGAGACTGACTCAAAATAAAATAGGCTGGGGAGTAGCTCAGTGGAAGAACACTCTTCACTCTTTGGTTCAATCCCTAGTACTGCCACCCACCCCAAGAAAGCAAGCCTTTCAATCCACAAGTATGGGTTTGGTGCTCCTAGGCACAGAAAGGTACTCCACACGATTACTGCACTTACCTACCTGAATTGGAATTAGCCATCTCTATTACACTGTAAGCTCTGTGAGGACAGGCGCCATATCCATCCCGTTCACTGATGTATAACCATTACTTGCCACAAAACATTCACTGCTTGCCACAAAGTAGATCAAATACTTGTTGAATAAATAGTATTGACACATGAGAGCTCACAGAATTTTGTAGGAACAGCATGTGGTCTAACAGTAGGTTTAGAGGCAAACAACCAGGCTTCAATTTTCCTGAGCTCTTGCTGCTGCCTACTAGGGAGTGGTCTCTTCTGAGCTACCTTCTCATTTTATGGGCAATTTCCAGGCATATCAATCAGGCTATCCCATGTCTTCAGTTACCAAAGCCTTGCTGATGACCCCCAAAGCCCTATCACTACCTAGATACCTTTCCTGTGATACCAAACATCATAGCTGGCATGTCTACATGGATGCTTCACAAGTAACTCCAATGCAACCTTCCAAGGAAAGGAAATTTCGCCACCCCAAACCTCCCAATTTCGACACCAAAATAAAGTATCCCATTCATCCTCTTGCCTCAGTCATTTGAATCTAATCTTTCTACATATATCTAATCAAATGTCAATTTTAAATAACTTTCTGGAGTCATTATGTGCCACCAGGCATTCTTCTAAGGGTTTTACCAGTATTAATSCATTTATTCATCACACCCTGTGATGTAGCTACTGGTATTGTAGATGAATAAACTGAGGCATACTTTGGTAACATCCCCACAATTACAGTAAGTAGAAGGGACAAGATTAAAACCCAGAATCTGGCTACAGACTATGCTCTTCCTCACTTGAACAGCACATTACATTTTTTTGGCATACTGGAGTTTGAAACCASGGATGCTCTACTACATTTCCAACTTTTTATACTTTTTATTTTGAGGCAGGGACTTGCTCAGATGCCTAGATAGACCTACTCAGCTTCCTAAGTAGCTAGAATTACAGAGCCAACTACAATCCTTTATTTTTATTTTTGATACTGGGGATTAAACCCAGAGCATTACCACTGAACTATATCTCTGATCTCCCTAAGTTGATCAGGTTGGCCTTGAACTTTTGATGTTCTTGCTCAGCCTCGAATCACCAGGAAGGATAATATCCATTTTTTTTTTCCAGTGCCAGAGATCAAATACCATACATGGAAGCAAGTACTCTTACCATTGAGCTACATCTCCAGCCTGATATCCGTATCTTAAGGAATTTTAATGTTTATAAAACTTTATAATTAGTTTCATTTTTTAGGAGAGAAAAAAATAGTCACAATTTCACTCCTGAAAGCTAACTGTCCCAGAAACATACAGCTTTTTTTTTTTTTAAATCTGTTTACCAAATAGTTTACTGTACTAGGAGGTAATAATATTCTTCTTTTTTTCCTTCACCCCTGGCCAATAAACTCATTTTATTTATTCTATGGTAAATTTCCAGCT